ACAACCCTTTGCACTCACACCCTTGGCTGTGGCAGAGATTTCACCACCTTACTTCCAGTTATGCCAGAACTCTCATCCTCTGAAGGTCTGCTATTTCCATAAATTTATAAACTGATTTACTACCCTAAAACTGCCTGGCCAGCATCCTTTCCTTTGTGTATTCTGAGACATGCTTTGCCTTTGTTTTCCAGGAGCTGCATTTCTGGACTTTCTCCGGTTTCCATGTGCTGACCATAAGGGGCCGTGCTCAGGTGACCCTGAGTGTCACAGAGGGTGGGCAGCAGTTTTGGATGCAGGGCCATCAATTTTTGCCTTTGGCACTGGATATTCTTTTTCATGACGTGGTTCCTCATGGCCTTGGTGCGCACAGCAGCACATCGGAGCTGTGGCTTTCAGGAACAGCCCCCAAGGATTTCCTGGTCTCTTTTCTGGACTGTAATCAAGAGCTCAGGACCCCTTGGCCCATGACTATGTTTAGATTATATTTTTCTGGCTGGGACCTTGGCCTGGCCACATGGCAGTGCATTCCCCAGTTTTCTGGCAGCCTTTATTGTCCTTGAGTTCCCAGTCTTAGCTACTTTACTCAAAGGTAAGCCTATAACTTCTATAATCCTATGGCTTTGGGATTTCTCTGCTCAAAGGAGTTCATTTTGGAGGGTGCCCTGAACTCTTCTTCCTTTTTAATAACATTAAAAAAATTTAAATTGAATCAATCTGAATACCAGTATCTGAGAGGCTCCAAAGTTTATGCCTTTTCATTCAGTCAATATTCCATTTTTCCTTATCCTTTATTTTTTTTTATCTCTGCTCAATTTTCTAAACATAGTTAAACACCCCTTCACCAGCCCCTCCCCACCCCAAAATACCCCAATACTCTTTATGGTGAATCAATTTTTTAAATGCCCTTAGTTGTGGCATTTTTAACATATTATTGACATTTGTTAATCCACTGATACCCCTTTTGCACATGTGCATTCAACACGTATGAACTCATGTGCCACTCACAGAGATTACACTGGTGGATTATGGTACTAGGTTCTGTGGCTTACCTGGAATCACAGATTCCACCAGAGTTATGACCCGTAAGAGCCCACCAGTAAGGCCTGCTGGGCTTTAGTCTCCAGGGTTTCCAGCAGTGCTCTTCTGGTAAGAAGTAGCCACTTAGGCAATAGTGAAGGCCACAGGGAGCCATGTGGCTGACTGAAGGTTCTTTAATTCCACCCAACATCCCCGAAGTTCAGTCAGTCTGGTAGTCTGTCTCTGGTTACTTTGTCCATAAAGTCAGACCAGTGGCTGTGTAATAAAATCACCTGAGGAGCTTTTAAGACATTGCCAGTGCTCAGACCTCCTGAGGCAACACTGCGGTGGTGTGATCCATGCCTCAGGTGGTTCTCAGGTGCAGTCATGCTGAGAAGCCCTGGCCAGGGACATCTTGTGCATTCTGTGAGTTTGCCACCATTTGATCCAGCACCTTGGATTTGTTCCTTTTGAAAACCACATGGGGGTGGAAATCTTCCTAAATCAAGATCAAAGCAAACCATTTATTTCCTTTTTGTTCATTTGTTTTGTTCTGTTGGTTTCTTTGACTTTTCATTACTTGGTGAACCTCTTTGATTGCCATATCTCTGATTCTATAACTGAAACTCTCTCTTTGATGTGCTAAAGCAAATCTCTTATCATAGATTAGGAGTTTCTTGTCAGGTACTCTTGCCCTCAGATTCTCCTTTGAGAGCCCTAATGTCTGATTTGTATCTGCTTTGCCATTTCTGTGTCAACTTGTCCTCTTCACTTGGGCTGTCTTTTCATTTGTGAAAGACATGTTTCCCCATATGATGACTACTATAGATGTCTGCCCAGAATCCACTTCCCTCTGCCCTTCTCACAGAGCTCTTTACTTCTGGGGGTGATTCCGTTTCCTAATGCCAATGGTTGGCCCACGAACCCAGGTGGAAGCCAGCCAGCACAGCGCACTCCCTTGGCCACAGGGGTTGATCCATGTGACCCAGCGAAGTCCAGTGAGATGGGGAAAATTTGATAGGCCTCCTGGGAAAAAAGGGTTCCTGTGCTTAGGATCAAGCTACCAGAAATGATGTTCTTTTTCCCTCTGGACATAGTCAAAGGTAAAACCTGGAAGTACCATGGTAGTTCTTAGCCACAGCAAAGGAAGCCAGTCTGGGGATGAATCTGACCCAAAGAGGAGGGCACAGCTGAGGGAAACACAGAGAAATGGAAACAGAGCCACTGTATAAGGCCATCCCAAAGCCTTCCCTATATCGGGCTATTCAACTACAGAAGCCAGTAATTTCCCTCAGTGCATAAATCAGTTGAATTGGATTTACCACTGTTTATAGCCTAATTTATTGCAACTGTACTATACTCTGAGACACCCTGCATTACTCCAGGGGGCAAACATGAAGATTTCTCACATATGTGCTTTCTGATCCTTGGCATATAATTATCACTGGGTTTGAGAAAAGTTCTTAAAAATGTTATCTCTCATTTTTCCTGTAGAAATTAATTTCTCTCATCTTTATTATTAAAACTTTTGAACATTTAGAAAAGCTGAAGACCTTTAAGCCAACCACCTGGTTTGAACAATTATTGTCATTTTGCCACATATTTGCATTATGTATTTCTGTATCTATATTTATCTATCTACCTATATTTTGCTGAATCATTTGAAAGTGAGTGTCAATATTTTGACACTTCATTCTTAAATACTCGAGCTTAGCATATGTCTCCTAAGAAACATTAACACATTATGAAATTTATAATTCCTTAATATCATCTACTATCCATCCAATCAATATCCACATTTTCCCTATTTGTTCCCCAAATTTTCTTTTGTAGCTCTTTTTTTATCCAAACTAGGATCCAGTCAAGTTTTGCTCATTGCATTTGTACCTTTATCTTTTACAACTTGTTTTCATAACTATTGCCCCATTTTTATTATATTTTTAGTCTAAAACACAAAAGGTCATTGTGGAAAATTTCCTTGGTCTTCTTTTTCCTGACAAATATTCAGTTGGACTGATTACATTCTCCATTACGTAGTGGTTCCCTCAATTCCTTCCTGCACCAATTTCTATTCACTACTCAGAAATAAGTCCCACGGGTACCATCCTTCTTTAAAAGTCATGATGCTGGGGGAGAAGGGACAGATCTCCTTACAGGATTCCAATTAATAGAAAATCATCATTTGGCAAACACCACAGTAATAACTGTTGCAGACAAGAACCACTGACAGATCCTAAAGTTAATGAGAGATAGCACTTTTACTAAGTGATCAAAGTTCTCTTTACAAGGGATAATGATATTGACATGATGTACCTACTGATATGACACACTGAGCCAGGCATAGCATCACTTCTGTAGGATTTCTGCAAAAATCCATAACCTCAATCAGACAAACCCACACTGAGAAATAGTCTACAAAATATATGGCCAGTACTCTTCCAAAGTATCAAGGTCAGAATGACTAAGGAATTGTTCTAGTTTGGAGGTGATTAAGGAGACATGACAGCCAAATGCAATGTGGGCTCCTGTATTAGATCCTAGACCAGAGAAAGGACATTAGTGGGACAATTAGTCAAATATGAATAAAATCTGTAAATTAGTTAGTGGTATTGTATCAATGTAGTTTTTTTGGCTTTGATAATTGTATTATATAAGATGTTAACATTAGGGGAAGCTACATGAAAAATATACAGTTTCTTTATGTACTATTTTGTTGTTGTTGTTGTTGTTCACATAATTTTTTTTTTATTTCGGCATATTATGGGGGTACAGATTTTAAGGTTTCAATAAATGCCCATTTCCCCCCCTCCCCCCACAAGTCTGAGTCTCCATCATGACCATCCCCTAGATGGTGCACATCTCACTCATTTATGTAGATGTAATATCATCCCCCCTCCCCTCCCACCTCCCAATACCTATTAACTGTAGTACCTATGTGTCCACTTAGGTGCTACTCGTTAATACCAGTTTGCTGGAGAATATATCTGGTGCTTGTTTCTTTCCATTCTTGGGATACCTCACTTAGTATATGGGTTCCAGCTCTACCAGGATATATAAGATGGCTACTATCACCATTGTTTCTTAGAGCTGAATAGTACTCCATGGTATACATATACCACATTTTATTAATCCATTCTTGGATTTGGGCCCTTGGGCTGTTTCTACACAGCCTTGCAATTATGAATTTGCTGCTATAAACATTCGAGTGCAGGTGTCCTTTTTTGTAGAGTGTCAATTGGATCATTTCGGGTAGAGCCAGCATGGGATTGCTGGATCAATGGTAGATCCACTTGTATCGCTTTAAGTATTCCATATTGCTTCCACAGAGGTTGAACTAGTTTGCAGTCCCACCAGCAGTGTAGGATGTTTCCTCTCTCTCTGCACCATGCCAGCATTTATTGGTTTGGAGATTTTTTGATAAGGCCATTCTCACTGGGTTAAGTGATATCTCATTGTGGTTTTGATTTGCATTTCCCTGATGATTAGAGATGTTGAGCATTCTCTCATATGTTTGTTGGCCCATTCTCCTGTCTTCTTTAGAAAAATTTCTGTTCAAGTCCTTTGCCCACTTTTAATGGGGTTATTTGATTTTTCTTCCTATTTTCATGAGTTCGTTATATTCTTGTTATAGTCCCTTAGTCGGATGCATAGGATGCAAAATTTCTCCCATGCGTGGTAGTTTCTGCTTTCATACTTCATTGAACTATTTATCTTTGGCTGTGCAGAAGCTTTCATTTATTTATTTTTGTTGCTGCTGTGATTGCCTTTGGGGACTTCTTCATAAACTCTTTGCCCAGGCCAATTTTATGTACGATTTTTACAAATTTTTTGTAAGTCTAAATTTTTTTTAAAGACCTCCTCAGTTAATTTATGAATTTCTCTTTCAGGGCTAGTGAGTTTGACAAAATAAAACCAAAGACTTAAGAAGCACAGCTAGGAAAAGACCATACATATCATAAAACACAGCTGCTGTTGGTTCTCACCTGAGAGCCGCTGCCCCCTCACAAACACACTCCCATTTCTGCTCAGCTTTGATTTGGAGTCTGAGCCAGAACGTCCCAGGTTAAATATTGATTTCCATTTTTTCGATTTACTGGAAAGCTTTCTCCTAAAACAGACGAGGTACAGGGGTTAACTTGTTAATTAGTCTTTTCATGGGGAATTTTAAATTGAGACAGACTATTCCAATCATGTTCTTAGTTATGAATGGCTCTGATATTTTAGGAAAAACCAAGTCAAGCCTGACTCTTGCCCCACCAGGAGATGCCCTAGATGAACAAGCTAGGCTTTCAGGAGCCAGAGCAAACCGTACTCCCCAGGGCGAGGGGCAAAGGCATGCTATTAAAGCAGGGGTGGGAGCACACAGAGGCAGGGACCAGTGGGAGTCTCAGAGGTCATGAACAGCCACACAGCCCTGGGAATTTTGGTAGGAATTCTGGCAAGCACTTCAGTTCTGGGTTTTCAGAGATGCCATATTTTGACGAGAGTAAACACCGAAGACCATAGACCTCCGTCCGGCTATGCTCCTGTGACTGCGGCCACATCACGGGACACCCACAGGCGAGGAGAGCACTGGTGAAGAACTTCAGGGACTGAAAGGGTTGGATGAGCAAGCCGACCTGGAAAAGGGTCTGGCCTGGTGTGGCTGGGGAGAGTTACAGCCCGCGGGGTTGGTCAGTGGTCACTGCAGAGAGAGGCAGAGGGAAGTTAGCTTTGCCTCACACCAGGCTGTTTTGGTGGAGTGGGGGAAGGGGGAAGGCTGGGCTGGGAAAGCCTGGCACCACCAGGGGTCACCTTGGAGGCCAGCCACTGGATTTCATAAAGTTCTAGGTTGAAACTCTGCAATTTGTGGGTCACACACAGGGTTCTCAAAGAACATCCTGATCTCAAGCCACGCTTGTTTTTGTGATGGATCTGAGATAGCTCTGCAGTGCTCAGTGGTTTCTTTTGGAGTAAGCCTGGCTTTTTAAAAACACTTGGCCTTGGGGAGTATTTTGTAGGGTGGCATGCCTTGGGGTATGGTGCACCCCAGGTTGAAAGAACAGAGAAAATACATTTAAGGGTCCTTCCTAGGAATTCTTCTTCCTCATCCACGAGTGGGAGTCATTCTCCGGGGATTTGGGGAGAGAAGTAGTGGGGCTCAGTCCCAAGAAGGCACAATCCATGTGCTCCAGGATATGGAGGTGTTTCTCACCAAGTTGAGTTCCAGGTGTGCCATTCTTACAGCATGCAGTGTGACTGGCGCCCCCTATGGCTGTGCAAGGTGGCAGGCTTGCAAGGAGTGCCTGTTTTCATACCTCTTTTGACCAAACAGCAGGGATGAGGCCCTCCAGTGAAAAGATTGCCTTTCAACCCTTCTGCTTACTGTCTGCCTAGAATTTAGGACTCCTGCTTCAAGCCCTGCCTCCTCCTGCAGTAAGGTACCACTGAGGGAGCAGGTGGAGACCAGGGCTGCAGCAGAGGAAGTGAGAGGGAGGAATGAAGAACAAAAATATCTCAGCAATGAAAATGGTGCTTGGTTTATTCTGGAGGGTAGGGGGGCTCTGACGGGGTTGAGAGGAGGCAAGAAAGTGGGGTCTGTGTGTCCTCTGGTGCCGCTCGCCCAGGGCTCTCAGCCTAGAGCAGCACCATTTGTCACGGTGTCCTCCATCATGACACCCATCCTGGTGCTTTTTGTAATGTTGTGTGGGGGTAGAGGATAGGGGGACAGGGGTCAACTTTTTGTTTTTAGTAAAAGTCCATTTATCAATGTCAAGCCTGTTTAGTCTAAACTCAAGAGTAAGAAATTTCAATCATGACTCATGACATGACCCCAGGACCCCCAGCCCCAACATGATGCTTGGGGTCCCCGGTGGGAGACTGGGGGTCTCAAGGACTCTGCGGCAGTGAGTAAGGACATCACCTGCTGGTGAGAGAGAGGCGTGGAGATAGCTCCCTTCTCTTCTGGAGTGTTTCCTTGCACCCCACCTAGATGCCCCCCGCCTCAGCCCCTGCTGCCATCTAGGTCCTGAGACCAGACAGTCTTTGTCCCTTCCTCTGTCCCCTCCTACCATGCACCTCCAAGAATTTAAAGGAACACCACTTACTTGTTGTCTGGCAACTCGAGGACGGTGTGGAAGAGGGTGCCCATGGGAGGGACAATCTCAGGCAGGCTGTTCTCCCTCCTTTCCTTCCGAGCAGGGTGGTTCGTAGCCAGGCTGCGGGCCTGAGCTTCCTCCAGGCTCACTAGCTTCATGGGGAGGGAGAGGGCTGGCAAGGTCAGGCTCTTCACGATGGGCTGGTTTTCTGTAAAGGGAAGAGAAGGGCTCAGTCCGGAGGAGGCCTGCACACCGGGTCCAGCCAGATTCCCCATCCGTTCCTGAGCTCGTGATGGGGGCTGAGTGCCAGCCCTGGCTTCTCTTAGGCATGGTGGGGTCTGGGGCTGAGGCCACACACAGGAAACAGACTAGCCAGAGGACAAACAGGGATTTCAGGAGGTAACTGCACTTTGGGTATTTTTCAGAGAGGGACCATTCATTCATTCATATGACTGACTGAATACTTACCCTGAGCCAGAGTACAAGAATAGGTCTTTATTCTTAAAACTATACATAGTGCTTTGGCCAGATGGGAATGTATGTCCAGCCACAGAGGTAACCTAACTCAGCTGGGGTGAGGCAGGAGACGGCCCCAGTCCCCACAGCTGGAGAGCACATGCTCAAAGGCCATGTCATGTTGGAGCCTCCGAACTTCCCTAGGTCACCCAGGCTTCTATCCCTGCAGTAAAACGACATTTACAGCCTATACTATTCCCTAAAAGACATGTGGCTTCTTACTCACTACCCAGTTGTCTTCTAGTGCATGCAGCTAATCCTTTCCTACTCTATTATTTTTTTAGGAAAGGAAGTGATGGTGACAATCTATGAAGTCATAGATCATCTCTTTTTTCCAAGTCAGTGGTTCTCATCGTGATACAATTTTGCCTACCACTCCCCACCACAGCTGGGGACATTTAGCAATATCTGGAGACATCTTTGATTGTTACAGATGTGTGTGAGAGTGCTACTGGCATCTCGTAGGTAGAGCCCAGAGATGCTGCCAAATGTCCTACATCAGACAGAACAGTGCCCCGAAATAAGAATAATCTGGCACTAAATGTCAACAGTGCCGAGGTTGAGAAACCTGATCTATGCAAAAAAGAAGTCTAAGTTTGCTTCTATTCAGTCTTTGGTGACCTTGCCAGTTTTCTGTGACTTCTGAAGTAATGAAGAGACTCAAGGATAACTAAGACCAACTGAGACTGAGAAATCACCTTTGGTATAAGACTCACCTTATTTTCAGAAAGCAGCTTGATGGCACTATTTCCCTTTGAAGATCATGGCCCTCTCTGGGTGGAAGGAAGTAAGGCCATTGAAAAAGGGCCCCGTAGAACACAGAGAGAGTATGTGACAGCAGGGTGTTTCCAAGGAGGACAGCACAGCTGTTGTCCAGCAGGACTGCAGTTAAATACATCCTGCGACCCTGAAAACTTTGCAGTCAAGTTTCCGGCTTTGACCTAGTCTTCTGACTCAATCCAATGGAGGTTAAAAACGTTTAAATTTAATTTACTTCCAGTAGTTGTTCATATAGATTCTGACAGATTCTAGATTATTTATGGTTTTTTGTTACTTATTAACTTAAAAAAGTTAAATCACTCTGGGAGCAACTGGCATAATGGAAAGAATGCAGACTGCAGGGTCAGGAGAGCTTGGTTTAGCACACATCTCTGCCTCCATTCCAGGTCCAGAGGAAGCCCTGCTCATCATCTCTGCTTAGGTGTTTAACAGGCATCTCTAACTTTACATGTCATGGCAGAGTTTGTGATTTCTACTCCTCACGGATACCTGGTACCTCCTCTCATCTTCATGTCAGTCAGTGGCACCCTGGGCCAATCAGCACAAGCTAAAGCCTGGAGCAGCTATTTTTTGTTCATTTCCTTCTTTGATGCATCCCTTTCCCCATATATAGCCTCTAAGCAAGTCTCATAACTCTACCTCCAAATATATCCTGGCCCCAGCCACTTTCCTCCCGCCTGCTGCTAACATGCCCATATGGGCCGCCATGCTTTCTTATGTTTCATGTAGCTGCTGCTTCCAGTCTTGCTGCCTTGCAGCCTCTCCTTCCCACAGCAGCCCGAGAGCTCAGCTCTGGCACCCACCTGCTCAAAGGCCTTCAGTGCTTTCCCAGGCCCCGAGCACCAACCAGACTGTTAGCATGACCTACAAATACCTTTTGTCTGCTTTCCTTCCCCTCTTTGCCCACTCAAACAGTGGTCTTCAAAAATACACAGTAAAAATGTTGGAGTGTATACTCCCTTTATATATGTGTACATTTATAAATTATACATATGTGCCATTATATTAATATTATGGTACAATAGAAAAAAGATATAAAATAATATAAGCTACAAAATATAAGGCACAAATAAATGAAAAAAAGAAACTCTAACAGTTTCTTCCCATACTCATACTTTACTTCTTTGGTCTTTGGTACCCCCCAGAGTGGGGCGTCCCTCTTTGGAGACCACATTGGTTCTAGCTACACTGGCCTCTGTTCTGCAACACTTTGAGCCTGTTTTCACCTCAGAGCTTTTACACTCCTTGTTCTCTGTCCTTGGAACATTTGTTTCCAGATCTTCCCATGACTGGTTCCCTGTGTCATTGAGGTCTCAGTTCAAAGATCAATTCCCCAGAAGCTATAACCACTTCAGCTAACTAATATTATGCAGATACAGTTCTCATACACCACTGATTCTCTGAGTGTGGGCCTGACCAGCAGGATCAGCATCACCTGGAAGCTTGTTAGAGATGCAAATTATCAGCCACACTCCAAACATATAAACCAGAAACTCTAGGGATGAGGTCCAGTAATCTGTGGTTTAACAAGCTCACCAGGTGATTCTGATTGACACTGATGTTGGAAAGCCACCATTATACAGCAGGCTTCTTGAGCAACTGGATTTCTGGTTGTCACAAATTAGGCTCACAGGAATGCAAGCACAGATGCCAATTCACTCCTAATGTTCATTATGCCATTATGAGATACCCGAAAACACTTGTTTTTGTACACCTACTGTCTGGTGCAGGGCAGAACAAAGTAAGCACTCAAGAAATGCTTGCAAAGAGAATGCATTCTAAATGTACATGTGATTATGAACATGTTACTTCTAATGTTCATCTAAGACTTCAAGGTGAAGGCATAAGGGTCTTCTGTAATATCACAGGGAGAGTAAAGACAAAATCTAACAGCCAAGAAGAATGTTGCCAGTGCCAGAGTTTAAGAGCTCACTAAAACTAATAGAACATTTTTCCAGTTCTATTCTACCACACTACACTCACAGGACAGGCCATATATGCGACTGATCAGAAACATGCTAAAGCCAAATGCGAACACACTGTAGCTTGGTTATACACATACAGATGTATATAAGTGTGGTCCTTGGACATGGACACACAGTAGTCAGCACACACATACACACACCCAAAACTGAGAGCTAGAACCAAGCCCACTCTCACTTATTCTTGGGCCCCACGGCTAGGGCAAGAAAGGAGGATATGCTGTGGGAGTATGTGCGGAGAGGAGTCATTACCATTGTTCTCCAGAGCCCCAGGTGCACCATTGTTAAAGATTTGATCCACGTGATTCAATATGAACTCAATCACCACCTGCTGGACCCGCACTGCAAGGAAGGCTGCGTCTCCATTGCAACCAGTGGCTTCGATCTCTTTAGACCTACACCGAGAAAGAAACACATCTAGTGAGTGAGTCTGCCTGACAACCTGAAGCAGCAAAGGGGAGCCAGTGGGCCTTTTGCACAAGCCCATCTTCTAAATTTATACAGTTTATTTTATAGAATATTTAACTATTTAAGACCAATTAATGGGACTTTCCAAAGCCCAATAGACTGAAAAAATTTAAAACAGTTACCAGGTATTATATATTGCAAAATTATAAATACTATCCTGTAGATATACAGAAATTGATTGTTTTCTTCATGGGATCCCTCTGCTCCCACTCAGTTATTCTATGGGGCAGGTCATCACTTAGGAAATCATATGAAGCAGCTGAACCAGTTTATAGCCAGCTGTGACCCCACCAAAATCAAAAGCCAATGAGCCCCAAAGACAATAAAGCCCCTTTCGAGAAATTGTAACATACATATCCATAACTTTAGCCACATTGTGATTGTAGCCAAAAAACAAACAAAAAGTCCCCCAAACATGCCTTTGGAACCTAGAGCTTCCAAGTTAGTAGGCAAAGAACTTAGGCTATTAAAACCACCTTTAATTCGTATGTGCTACAACTGACCACTTAGCTCCAGGTTTGTCTTACAGGGGCTTCAATTTTGAAGAATCCAGTCTTCATTTCATCTGGGGGGCTGTTTTGAGCCCACCAGGATGGTGAGAAGGTGAGGGTGTAGCGGTTACCTGAGCAGGTTTGGTGCCCACACCAGGGCCAGGTTCCTGGCATGCATGTTGGTCTTGCTGCTGAAGGAGGCGATGTGGGCCAGGTGTCGGATCAGGTATTCCAAGGTCCTGTAATGGTTTGGTTTTTTGACAAAGAAACTTCAGTGCCTGTGTGACGCCTGACATCTGGAGATAATTTCTAAGTTAGATTTAAGAGACTCTAAATATTTCCATCTTACGAATTTTGAAGGAATATTGGGAAGATGTCAAGATTGATAGGAGTAAGTTTCTTGACCCTAGGCACACTGGCTTGGGGTGGGGAAAGAGAGTCAGTCTTGGCAGAAGTCATTGGAGGCCCGTGGAGCATCAGCTAGAGGCAGAACCAGGGAATCCCAGCACCCCAGAGCCGGAGCACTCTTAGCAGCCACTTGTGCCTCCTTTCCACCAGATTAGAATCGCCTCTATGCAGTCTTGAAATAGGCTCTCATCTAGGCACTATTAAAAAAAATTCTTCCAGCTACAGATAATTTAGTACTTATAAGGGAGCTCATTTCATGGATGGACAACATTTATTATTGCTAGGAGTTCTTTCTTACTTCAAAATCTGCCCTCTTGTAAAAGACGGGCATGCATAGGGGCACTGAGAAAGGTGGTACAATTGGGGGCTACCCTGCGAGAATGAAATGAAAGGATGGGGTGATGCAAGGGGTGGTACTGAAGAGCAAGCAGAGAGCTCAATCTGTCAAATGGGGCAGCGCTGCAGGCAGCCCGTTTAAAGGCTATCCATGGCTTCCACAGATTTGGTTATGCTACAAATCTGGGTAAGAACCAAGGATGCCCCTGAGAGACTGGCTTGCCTGAGCAGGATGACTTCCTGAGGGACTCTGAGGGTGTCCTGTAGGTGACTTGGAGATGGACTGTCCCTTGCTACTGTAATGTCCCTGGCCAGGCAGCAATTCACTTCAATAATAGTGACCTGTTCGTCAACTTCAAAATGCCCCCAGCAAAGCCACTGCCCTCTGAATTTGCTCCTTTTTAATGATGTTAGCCTGTCTCTTTGGTATCACATCACACTGAGAGGCTGAACATTATTTTTTTTAAGAAACAGGGTCTGGTTCTGTCACCCAGGCTGCAGTGCAGTGCTGTGATCATAGCACACTGTGGCCTCGGACTTCTGGGCTCATGTGATCTTCCTGCCTCAGCCTCCCAAGTAGCTGGGACTACAGGCACACACCACCATACCTGGCTAATTTTTTTAAAAAAATTTTTTAGAGATAGGGTCTTGCTATGTTGCACAGGCTGGTCTTGAACTCCTGGCCCCAAGCGAGTCTCCTGTGTTATCCTCCCAAAGTGCTAAGATCACAGCCATGAGCCACCATGCCCAGCTGACACATTTCTTTCCCCAAGGATTCTTACCTGTAATGGGACGGGGGAAGCTCCTGAATAACATTTTGGATTCGGGCCAGCTGGCCTTCTTCCGGGCAGTGCGACACCGCCTCCTGTGGAGAAGAACACGAAGCAGCCCGTGAGCGCTGAGTGCCCCAGAGCGTTGACACCACCTGTGTGTCAACGTCACTGGCGTCATTCAGAGCCCTGCACGCCGGCCTCACGACTGTGCCCAGAGAGCAGCCTTCCAAGAGGCACGCTTTCCCAGGAAAACCCCCCAGCCACAGTGCGAGGCTGAACCACCAAGCGTCTCACAGCGTGTGCCCACGGGATGGGCGGGCTGCTGAGGTCCCTGTGCATCCCGAGACGGTGGTTAGGTGTCTGGTAAAGAATGTGTAGGATCTTGGGTGTGTCTCATGTGGCAGAGGGTCACGGAGACTCATGCTTGGAGAGATAAAGAGACAGAGACAGAGTGAGGAGTTGACAGGGTGGCACCATGTCTACCTGGCCAGCAGGCTTTGTGGGTACAGCCACCCCTCCCCCCTTGCCTGTGACCATGACCTCGAGTACTCAGCTGCTGCCTGTCCTAGAAGCCAGGAAGCAGGAAAGATGTGCCTTCCTCAGCAGGGAGAAGAGCTTTGTCCCTGAGACCCGGCGGCCTTGCCTGGACTTGCTGTTGGGCTATTTCCTGTGTGGGTATTTTGTTCCCCCATCAGCCCGGGGCGTTCAAGGAGAGGCAGGAACAGCAATAAAGGCAGCGTGACCATAGGCGGGCCACGTCCATGCCTCGCCTTCTGGGGCATCCCTGGGCAGATTCTCCTGCCCTGTCCTGAGAATCTGTCCTGCCAGTGCCCAGGCTCAAGGGCCCTCCCACTGCAGGGCCGAATGCGCAGGAACTGCCAGCACAGAAGCCGTCCCCAGGTCCAGGGTCAATGGTAATCACATCTATCTATCTTCTCTCACTGAGACATCCTTTACATATATTAAAAGTGTACAAATCTTAAACCACATCTCCATGAGTTTTTTCATATGTATATGGCCTGGATAACCCACCTAGATCAAGATATGCTTTAAAAGGGGCTCTGGAGCTCACTTTGATCTTTGTGATCTTGAATTCAAGGCAAATGTGACTTAGTTTTGTATTTCCTCCTGGTGCTGGAAACAAACTTTATTTGTATATGATAAAGGTATAGTCAAAAATACATTCTTTAACTGGTAAATACTGCCCCCTGCAATACTACCAAATACAAATACTACCGAACATAACATCCTGACTGTGGTGATGGTTTTCTTATATCATTCACCTCTGTTCCACCTTTTTATTTTTCTGTCGCGTGGCTAGAGTGCATCATAGTTCGCTGCAACCTCAAACTCCTGGCTTCAAGTGATCCTCCTGCCTCAGCCTCCCGAGAAGCTGGGGCTACAGACATGCACCACCACCTTTGGTTAATTTTTCTATTTTTCTAGAGACAGGGTCTGACTCTTCTTGTTCAGGCTTGTCTTGTACTCCTGGATTCAAGTGATGCTCCCGCCTCAGCCATCCAAAGTGCGAGGATTATAGGTGTGAACCACTGTGCCTGGCCTTCTGTTTAGTCTGTAGCTGTCATTTGCTTGCTTGCATGTAAATGCTAAAGTTCACACTCTCAGTAATGAAAATTTTTAGGCCTAGAAAAGTGGAAGGGAATTAACTCTACTGGGCACATTCTGTTTTGCCAGGCCCTATTCCAGGCCATTCCAGCTGCTTGCGTTCTGTTCTAACTAGAGGAGAACTCTGAGGTCCTGCCCCAGCCTGGCTCTCCCGATCCCTCTCGCTTTCCCCCATAGGACTCACTGCCAATGCGCGCTATAGAATGTGTTTATCTATTAGGGACACTGTTTACTCTCTATCGCCCTCGCTAGAACATGAGCGCTGTAAGTGCAGGGATATGACGAGTCCCTGTGGCCAGAGCAGTGCCTGGCACACAGTAGGTATTCACTACATGGGACATCATGCCCAGGCTTTGTCCACCATGTTTTTTGTTTCTTTTTACCTTTTTTAATTGAAGTAAGATATATATATATATACAGAAGCTCGCCATTTTAAAAGGCAACCAAAATTCTTTATGGGGAGAACTTGAGGTCTCGTGTCCTAAGCAGAAGTGGGGAGAAATGCAGGACTGGGCGTGTCCCAGTCACAGGTGTGTCCCAGTCTTCTGGTGGGCTTGCCAGGCTGCGAGTAGACCCAGCAGAGGCAGGGTGGCAGCTGCAATCCTCGCTTGGTGAGACATGCAGGATGGAGGTAGGGCAGGGGCAAGAATGGGGCCTCCAGTAAGCACCTGACACCTCCGTTCTCTTCCCTGGAGTGGTCATTTAGAAAATCGGATGGTGGAGGGGACCCTTGTGCCACTAAGCAGAGAGAACCTCACAATGGGGAGCAAGAGGAGCTGGGGGAAGGAAGGGCTGCGGAATGTGCTGTGGACCCTCCCGCATTCTGTTGTGCACAGAGGGAGGGGTGGGGAGGATTCTCCACATCTTTGCAAAGCCAGGATCAGGCTTTGCAAAGCTCTGTACCATCAAGCCCCCTCCACTTTAAAAAATGTATCTGGGGAATAAAGGTGCAGGCCAATTTAACAGCCCTCATGGAAAGTTCTTTTAATAATTTAGGAAGCTATTAGTCATCTTTGTTCTAAGAGGTGGGGCAGGCTCACCCCCTGATGCCTGCAGGTTCCATTTGGGATTGGCATTTATTTCATTATTTACAACCTCTATCCAACCCACTCCAAACCTCTCTATAGTCTCTCTAAAGCCTCGTTTTTCTCCTGAAGGGATCTGGTCACTGCAAACCTATTCTTAGCTTCTTTATGTTCTCCCATCAGGATGGGCAAACCCATCATGGGGCAAGGGGCTTGAAATTTTCCCACCCCAATTTTTTGCCTGTATAAGAGAATTTCACTCAACATTAGCCAGAGCAATGTGGCTAATGGTTAAATCTTAAAAGATCTAGGATGAATCTGTGACTATTTGTTCTCTCCAAATCAGTATCAATAGCACTAGCTTCAGCTAGGTGTGTTGGTACATCCCTGTAATCCAGCTACTTGGGAGGCTGAGGCTGGAGGACAGCTTGAGCCCAGGAGTTTGAGGCTGCAGTGAGCTATAATTGTGCCACTGCAGTCCAGCCTGAGCAACAGAGTGAGACTCTGTCTCAAAAAAAATAAAATATAAAATAACACCAGCTTCCTGCCCTTTGAAGATTCCGGCTGGGCTCTTGTTCCCCACTATAGGGCTCTCACTGGGTTTGTCTGTTTACTGAAAGCCACCACAGCCCCTGCACCTCTAGTCCTACTGCCCAGGCAGCCCTGCCACCAGCATGGCCCAATAGACAACCTGCAGCTCTCCTTTCTAGCTGTACCCCAGCTGCAACTTTAATGTTTTATTAATCATGTAAAATGATTATAAAACCATTTTTATCATTATAAATCATTTTAAGCTATTAACTAGATTTTTAAAAAGTAATTCATGGACAGATTATATATATATATATATATATTTTTTAAAAAAGCAAAGCATCCAGAAGAAGGCATAGAGGAATCAGTCTTCTTTCTAACTGAAGTCTCCAGAGGAACCACTGCATGTCCTTCCAGACAGTCTTTATATATATATGTCTTTATTACACCTTTCAAAGCAAGCACTACTAAGTGATCTGCCCATCTGCAAATTCCCCTGCTCTGTCTCCCATGGTTGCCTCCTTGCTTGCTCCACACTGGCTCCACATGTTCCCACGAGCAAGCTCAGCGTGCCCCCCACCCCACCCCAGGGCCTTTGCACCTGCTGTTTCTTTTTGGCACCCTCTTCCCCCAGATACTTGCACTATGTGTTTGTTCCCTTATTTTACCTTCTGTTCAAATGTTGCCTCATAAGGGCATCTCTGATTATCTGACCTAAAATAGCAGTCTCCATCATTCTGTCCCCCATACCCTACATTATTTCTCTTTATAGTACTTATCAACAGTGCTTATTACAGATATGTCCCTTACATTTTTTTTTTATCAGCTATCCTCTCTATTAAAATGTGACTTTCACAAGAGCAAGGATTTTTCTGTCTCACTCACCATTAAATCTCCCCACCTATGCCTGCTAGGTGTGCATGGCAGGTGCCCAGTAAACATTTGCTGAATGGAATAAGTGAACAGGTCAATATTTTGCTTTGATCTTGAAAACATGAGACAGCCACACTTGGGCCACACTCCCAAGACAGTACCATCATGGGTCCATTCTCCATCGTGCTGAACACTAGCATGGCTGAGGCTGCTCCTTTCAACTTTGGGCTCCTGGCAGAGTAACCAGTCATCCCAGTTTGCCTGAGATGGAGGGGTTTCCTGGGATATGAGACTTTCAATGTTGAAACTGGAAGAGTCGCTGGGGCAAACCAAGACACTTGGCAACCATCCCCTTAACAGCTGGCTTGAGCTCCCAGCCAGCCTGCCTTTGTCTATTGCCAGGTGCTAGTTGTCTGCCCTAAGTGACATTTCAAATGATGTGCATGGGTCAACAAACCTGTCAGTAAACATTTACTAAGTAACAGTTACAACATTTTCCAGTAGCTGGAGAGCAGGGAAAGGAACACAACAATGAGTAAAATAACTACAGTTCTTGCCCTTGGGAATCTTTCAATTTAAGGAGGGAGACTGAGACATAAAGACATTGTTTGATATAAATTCAATATATAATTTAACCCCTCTCTAAACTACCTCCTCTAAAAATCTCCATTTCTCCCTGCTTTGGGTATAATAATTTGGGCTGGATCAATCTGAACAAAACTGAATTTTTCCTAAAATTGTTGTTTTTTTTCTAATAAAAATAAAATGTACTAGGTTGAATAATTGCTTCCAAGGATATTAGGTCCTAATCCCTAAAACCTGAAAATGTTACCTTATCTGGAAAAAGAGTCTTTGCAGATGTGGTCAAATTAAGAATCTTGAGTGAGGAGATTATGCTAGATTTTCAGGGGGGGGGGGCATGGAGAGGCTTAAATGCAGTCACCAGATCCTTAGAAGAGAGAGGCAGGGGCAATTTAGCATAGACAGGAGAGGAGAAGGCAGTGTGAACAGGGAGCAGGGAGGGGAGTGATGTGGCCACAAGCCAGAGAATGCCAGCAGCCACCAGAAGCTGGGAGAGGCAAGGTATGGATTTTCCTCTAGAGCTTCTTCAGCCCTGCTGACACCTTGACTTCAGCCTAGGGAAACTGATTTCAAACTTCTGGCTTCCAGAACTGTGAGAGAATAAATTTCTGTTGTTTAAATCACCTAGTTTTGGTAAATTTTTGCAGGAAACTAACACATGTACTAAAAATTAACATACAAAATCTGCAGAAAATAAAAATCACCTTTTATCACACCACCCAGAAATAACCACTATTAATTTATACATGAAGCAAAAAAGCAGCAGTCCGCCCAGGTCTCCCAGCACCAAATAGGAACACTGGCATAATTTCCTATTTGGTTGCATATATTGCTCCTTTTCCATTTAACTTTATATTTTGGCCAGTAAATATTCTTCAAAAATGTGACTTTTCATGGCTACACAGTTTTAAAAATAATAGGCTTATCATTTGTTTAAATCATCTTTTATTGTTAGGTACTCTACAAAATTTTGCTATTATATATAACGGTTCAGCAAACATACTTGAACATCAATCACTTGTGTGCACATCTGATTATTACCCTAGAATGGAATCCTAAAAATAGTTACTGGATTAACGAAAGACTATGAACATTTTAGGATAGTAATTTCAAATGACTTTCTGGGATGTCCAATCCATTTATACTTCCAGTAGAAAACTATAAAAGATCCAGTCTTACTACAGGCTGGCCAGTATGAAATGGCAACATTAAAAAATTATTTCTTTAATATGCAAACATACTATTCTAATATATTGATAATTTTAGAATAAATTGATTTGTTTTTCTATGAAGTGACTGTTGAGGTTCTTTGCTTGTTTGTTTAGTGAGGTATTATGTGTGTTTTTTTCTTTTTATTGATAGGTAGGAGTTGTATATAATTAAAGAACATCAATCCCCTATCATCTTTATTTTGAATAGTTTTTATGATTGGTCATTTGCTTTTTAATTTTGTTAATGTATTTTTACATGGAAAAATAGTTTCTACATAGTTTAGTTTGTTAAATTTGTGTTTTGTGATATTTTTCTTTTGCCTTTATTATGAGGAAATCCTTCTCCACCCTGAAATCTGTTAAGTTGTAAGGATGCAATGTGATTTCTCCCTTCTCCGACAGTTAGCCAATTTTCCTAACGCTGTTGGTGGAATTGTTCCTTCATTACTTTATCTTGTATGAAGTTATTTAATACTTAATATTGAGCCTACTTAAGTGCTATTAACTCTTTTTTTAGTAGTGTGGGAGTTATGAAACAAAATTTTAAATCTTTACCTTCACTTATTAGCTGAACCAACAAAGGCAATAAAACCTGCTTTATAGAATTATCTTCAGTATTAAATGAAATAATATTTAAAATGAGTTTATCATATAGTAAGCACTCAACAAATGATATCTATTATCAGTATTATTATTCTATTAATATTTTTTCTAATTCTCTTCTTAGTCCATTGAGATATTATTCTACTTTAGCTGTACCAGTAGGTTTAAATAAGTAATTGTGAGACTATGTAACAATGTAACAGAGTTACTTCCATGTCCTTGAAGAAGGCTTGCTTATATTATCATACTCATTACTATGATCAAAGAAATCTATTAAATGATAAATTCTTCAACATATTTAACTTGACCTCCATCTATGTAGAGGTCAGTTGTCACAACAAAACATTCCTGTTTTATTTTTTGGTGTCAATAAACTTGCCTAAATACAATGTCAGATTTCCTTAAAATTTGATGACAAAATATTACATTGGTATTTTTCAGTTGCTGTGAGAGAACAGAATGATTAGCAATATCTGGGAACAGAAAGAGGAGAGATAAATGTGGGTTTTGTTCTGAGCCTATAGATAAGATCTAAGAAGGAACTGTATTTCTAAAGTTTCTAGACAAGAATTCCTATCTACCCTCAACTATCATAGAATGAGATATTTGTTAAAAGAAATTAGACTTATTCAGTTCATTAACATGATGATATTCCATTCTGTCATATTCAAAGATGAAACTATTGTACTGATAAGAGGATTATGAAACGACTATGTAGAAAACAAAATCTTACCCACAAACTGAAAGAATAATAAGATATTACTTTTGATGATTCAGATTGGCAAATAACTTAAATTGAAAATACTTGGTGTTGGCAAGTCTGTGGGGAAAGGAACATTCCTGTCTCTAGGGAGGACAGTTTGGCAATATGGGACAAAATTTTAAACAAGAACTCCTTACTCAGTAAATCTACTTCAGTGATTTTCCCCTGAGGATATAAACAGACAAAAGTGTGAAGATAAATGTGCAAAAATGTTTATTATAATGTTGTTTGTGAAAGCAAAGTGTTGAGAAACAAAAATCCTAAATGTCCATTAGTAGGAGCCTGGTTTCAGAAATCATGGCACATATGAAAGAACATTCATACAGTGTCTCTCTATATTTATTAACATGAAAAATGGTCACATTGTTGAATTAAAAGCATTCTGAAACAGCAATGTATAGTATTGAGAAGTGGAAGTGTGTGTGTGTGTGTGTGTGTGTGTGTAGGGGGGAGACCTGTTAATATCTGTTATTGAAGATATAGTTAATATCTATTCAGAGATATGTCTGGGGTATGGAATTTCAGGTGATTTATACTTTCTCCTTTAATCTTTTTTGTATTGCTTTCATTTTTGCAATAAAATGTATTTTGATTTGGGAAAGCAAAACAACAAAAACACTGTGCAATGAATTAAAGACTGAAGGAAATACCTAAATATGTTAACTGCAGTTGTCTTTAAGGAAGTTTCCTTTCTACTTTCCTCCATTTTCCGAACTTTTATTGAACATGATTACTTTTAAAATGAGGGAATACATATGGTAACGGTGATTATAATCTGTGGTTCTCCTCTGTGGTTCCATGGGCAGGGGCTGCCATTATTTGTGACTTAGCCATGCAGATTGGAGGCTTGTTTACCTTCTACCTTCAATCTCTAGGGGAGAAGCCCCCTAACCACTGACAACTCTACATCAGCTGGTACATATTGACTTCTCTAGTGGTCAAATTTATGCCCAAGTTTTTTGTGTGCTTTGGTCTGTTTTTTCATTAAAAATTAATGTATTTTTAGTGGACAAAATTATGAAAGTTAAAGTATAAAGAAGCAGGAAAAACCATCCATAATCCATCACTGAAACAAACGAGTGGCTTAGTCTTTTGAACATCCTTTCTTTAAATTCCTTCATTAATAAACAATTTTATATCTGGGCTTTTTTCCCAATTATCATATGAATATTTCCCTGTACCACTGAAAACTCTTACATGTATTTTTGATGGCCCAAGCCCAATTTTTAAGAAGAATTTTTCATTCATTCTTGTATCATTTCAAACTGAAGAACCTTTCATATGCTCAAAATAAGTTTATTACAGGAGCCATAAGAAAGACTTCCTCCCACCACTAGAGCCTGGGTCTGGTCCTTACCAATAATTGGAACCCCTTCCCAACCTCAAGTCAAACACCTCCCCACCCCCGACCACCGTACTCCAGTTACCCCACTGACCTCACTGGGATGAATAATCCCTTGATCTACTTTTTCACTGTTACTCATCTGCCTTATGGCCTCATTTCCTTTCTTATTCACACTAAATTCCATGGCCAGTTATTTCAATCACTCCCTGGCGTACACTCTCATGTCCTTCAACCCTCTTCGGCTGGCTGGATTCCAACCTGGGTTAAATTCAACTCTCTGACTACTCTACACCTCAACTCATGCAGCCAGATGTTCAAGCCCTATTTTTAATGCTACCTCTACGGACATCCTTTAAGCATTTTTTTCTCCATTCCACTTGCCTATGGGTGCCCTATTTGGTGACCATACAGCTTCTGTTTAGATATTCTGCTCTTGCTCATCTTTCTTCCCCACCAGCCCAACTCACTGGCCCATCCTGCACTCCCTCTCTTGGCCGCTTTTCTAAGATTTTTTCCTCTCCCCAGCTTTCTGACCTCTCTCCTGACTTTGGTTTGTTCCCTCTCCCTTCTCTACTCACCCACCCACCTCTTTCCCCAGGCCCCAAAAGAAACACAGAAGGACTAGACTGATAAAAAAGAACTAGCAGTGGGTGTAGCATCAAGACCCTCAGATTCCTGTCCTGCCTCTGCTGTGTGACCTTGGGCCAGCCACTTTACTTCTCTGGTTCTCAGTTTCCTCCCTATACAATAAGGCACATTCGGTTGAATAAACAGAGAGATAATTTAACCCAGCTCTTAAAACAAACAACATGATTCCGAAAATTCAAGGAAAAAATTTAGCCGACGGTTCCACTACCCTACTTTCCTCATCATATCATCCTACTTCCATCACCATGCTAAGATAATGTCAACCATCTGGTGCGTGTTATGATTGTTATTTTAGCGCTGAAATTCTCCTTGGCCCATCCCATGAGTCCCACCCAGCCCCCATAATGGAAATGCAAACACTCACCGTGAATTTCTCATAGAGCTCATAAGTCAGGAGGGGGTTGGGCAGCTCCCTAAAGTAGAGCTTGCAGAGTGAGCCCACACAGTGGATGTCCTGGAGGTACACTTCCCTTGTCAGATCTGGACATTGATCTGAGCCAAACTCTTGCCTGAAACAACACAGACGGAGACATAACAATCCCAGGGAACATGTGTTCCGTGTCGGCGGCTGCTTGCCTGCTTAGGGGTAAAAAGACCCTAACCTGCCGATCCCACTATATTTTTGACCTTGATTTAAAAAGACCTTCTACTCCAGGAACAAGAAAGCCACAGGTAGACTTTCACTTCGGGTCTGGCTCTTCCTCGCACAATCTGCTGTGATTACAAAGACATATGCCCATTTACAAATGGATTTTCCACGGCATTATGTCTGCAGTCTTGGTTATGAACACTGAGGAAATATGAAAGCAGTTTGCCAAAAAGGCCTACTGAAATTTCAGTTTTTCCAAAATATTGTCCAAAATGAACTTCCCTTTCTTACAGGAGAGAACAAAACCAGCGTAGATCAGATTGTTACCACTCATCTCCATATATTCTTGTCAACAAACTTGTTTTATCTGGAGACTCAAACCTGAGGTTTGAGAACTTTAATCAGCTATCACTTGGATGCTCAGTGGAAACTTCTAGGCTGCCTGATGGTGCCTCCTACAGGATAGATGAGCTTAATCATAGCTTCTTTTTTTTTTTTTTTTTTTTTTTTTTTTTTATAAACTCTACTCGTGTGGACATAGCTTCTTAAACAATCCCTAGTGGCATGTCTGGGAACATTATCCAATTCCAGGCCTGGTTTCTAATTAGAAAACATTTCCTAAAAGGTTACATGAATACACTGCCTCAGATAATACATACTTATATGCTTAAAAATGACACATGTGAGCAAATACAAAAGAGAAGTTGGACATCTTGAGAGTATTCCCTTGGTCAGCCAAGTGTTGACAAAATCAACAGGACTCTCGGAACCAGCATTTTCAAAACAGCTCACTGCCCATTCTTATGTGCTCTGGGTCTGTCCCTTTAACGAAGGGTAGGAAAATCCCTGATGCTGTCAGAACCTGACGGGAACTGAGTGGAGCCTTGAACAGAGAATTATGCCATGGCCTCGTAAATGCATAGGCATGTGAGCTTTTAAGAGGACAGAACAAAAACAATCTAGAACTTATTCACTTATTTAGCCAAAAATTTCCCTTCTCAAGGTCAGTCTTTAAATGAGTAATAATTGGCTCCCACCCAAGTGTTCTTCCAGAATACCAACTACTGTGTAGTATATTGCAGAGCTAAGAGTAAACCATTAAGAAGTATTTGCCATTGAAACCCTAAAAAACAGCACACTAGTAAATTAGTGAAATTATGTAAACACATAGATTCATTAGCATCTATGGCTGCAATAAACCGATTATTTTTTTAAACAGACATCACTTCTCCAGGAGAAAAAAGGATGTTTTATTCCTTTGGAATAATTTAATTACAATTGAGAATTTTTTTGGTGGGTGGGGGCAGAAACCAATCAGGAGGAAGAATACGAAAACTGAGTTACCTGTACAACCTACAAAATTTTACATATTAATCTTGTAATCAGGATGTTTTCATTGTTTTAAAAGCCTACATTTATAACTAAAGAACTTTAATAAATATATGAAGTGCTATTAAATTATGTTCTTTTTGGTGTTAAAGAATATGCAAAATGTATAAACCTATTGTTTTAGTCACAGAAAAGCATATATATAAATACTTTATATGTACTCTCTATATACTGTACATAATCTATTGTGTGTGTGTAGATATATAAAACACACACATATACATGTGTTTTGTGTAAAGGATTTTACCCTCTTAATTTAATACGATAGAAACTTCTTCTAAATGTTCAGAATAAATCCAAAGACTTGGAAATAGTTCATCCATCAGTAATTTTTAAAATACCAGCATCAATTAGAGAGGCTTCTGATTCCTATTTCAAATAAAATATCAAATGTGGAATGTGTGCCAACAGAAAACTCACACCGATGTCAGAGTTGTGAACACGATGTAATAGGAACCTAATCTAACTGAGCTTTGGGTACGCAAGTGAATGATAATTAGATCACGTTTCCCTAACTTGTAACTTAAATCAAATCCACCTAAGAAAGATAAGTCTATCTGGCTCAAGACAAAGAAAGAGATTCAAAGCCCTAGGAGCGTTTGTTAGAAAGAATCATATCAGACTGGAGAGTTTCCTGATTAGATCAAGGAACTGTCAGGCATCTGAAAACAGCCACATTTGATCTTTGGCCTTGCCACCCTTCACACAGTCCCTTCAGGTTTTTGATATTCCCGACACCTTCGGACAGAGGCGTGTTCAAAGGATCACAGGAGAATTCTTTTAGGCTGTTCTCTCTTACCTGAGCCGTTGTATGTTTGAGGTGACTCCTGAAAGCCGATAGATTCCATCCACGATGCCGTGAGTCTCTATAAATTCTGCACAGCTCTTCAATACATATGGAACTATGTAAAGGAAAAGAAAAAACAATAATGTAAATCTGACTGTCCTTTAAAGATATCCTTCTAAAAATTCAGATAACTTCAAAGAGAAGTAAGTATGGAACTCATGAGTTACAAATGGAAACAGTCACTTGTAAGTGGTAGGTGATGTTCCTTTTGTATTTTAACAAATCATAGAGTTTTGATAAAGTTTTAAAAACCATGTGTTTTAAGAGGTTTTTTTTTTTTTTAAGAATTTGAAAAATATGCAAAAGCTTTGATTTTGAGACCACCGGTGACTTTGGAAACCCACAAGTCAGTCGTTTCACTGGTGTGTGGTCTCCTGACCAGCAGCATAAACATCTCCTGATCTCCTGGGAACTTGTTGGAAATGCAGATTCTCAGGCCTCACTCCAGACACACCGACTCAAAAATTCTGGGAGTGAAGCCCAGCAATCTGTGTTTTAACAAGCCCTCTGGGCTACTCTGATGCACACTAAAATTGGAGAACCACTGCCTTATTCTTATTCTATCAAAGAATAAGAAAAGATCTATAAGAAGATAAATTTACTTCACTCATGATTGCTTATTGCTTATGAAAATTAATTAATACATGGGAAAATGCTTATAATACAAGTAGATTTTTTTTAAAAAGAATATTCATTGCTAATTCAATTATGTAAAAAATCATTGTGAAGGAAAAGAGACTGGAAGAAATCTGCCAGAATGTTAAAAGTGATTTAAACGTTAAAGAGGTTTTTTTTTAAAAAAAAAAAAATAAGGGCCTCCCCACCACCCCCAGCCGACATGTGTCAAATCAGTCATTGATTTAATGGACCACTTAACAGGGACTGACATGGCTTCTCTTGAATTCCAGCCACTCCAGAGGCTCAGCGCCCTGGTGGAAGGGTCTGGCTGTGCAGTTCTCTCCTGGGGGTTGAGCGGCCCAGACTGCTCAGTGGCCCAGAATGGCAGATGCAGACCTTTTGGATTATACAGAGAGAGTAGCAAGTCACTTGCCACTTTGGTCATGGACAGATCCACTTGAGGTCGCCCCATGAGAATGCAGTCAGTGGTGGCTTGGGATGGAAGAACTCAAGCCTCTGACTCTGAAGTCTTCAATGAGTGTCTTCCTGGAGGCACAGAGGTGGTGTGGGACCTCCGTGAATCAATGCTTGGGTTAGCACTGTGCACACATCCCCACCACATGCCTAGTCCATTAACGCGGTAGATTAGACCAGTGCCAACTCATTAATGCTTACTGCACATGCTCACGCCTATACACAATTCCAAGCTGGACTGGACCTTTATGTGGGTAGACACTAGGCATTCAGACTCAATATTCTACCCGAATTATGATACTTTCTAAGCATCCCTCCCCTTGTTGCCTTCAAGTAACTCTAATTTTAGGTGCTCAATAAAGTTCATCATACTTAAAGTATTCTGTCATCTCTCGAAGGCTGAGCATGCCCAGAGCCATTCCCCTCTAGCACACATCCATGGTTTGCCCCTGTCCGCCATGACTGGAGCCAGGGAGAATCTTCTCTTGTTATTCCAGGTCAGAAGAGCTTAGGGAGTAGATTAGAAGATAGATTAGAAGATTAGATTAGAAGTAGATTAGGTTTGGGATTAGAAATATTGAGGCCAGAGACCACAGCTGTGGAGCCACTTTGGGGTGTGATGGAGGGGCTGTGGGCGCGGGCAGGGCTCCAGAGCTTCTGCTTGTCTTCGGCCAGAAGAGCTGTGATTTGATCTGTTTTATAAAATAGGGTTCTTGGTAAGATTTTTGTCTCCCACCCTCATGCAAATAGAGAGGGATAGACAGAAAGTGTTATAGTGCTTAAAGGACATATCTTAACATTCCTGTTGTGCATAATAATGGTCGACTCTTTTCCCACCACACCTGGCTGTTCTGTGACCTGCCACATGTGGCCTATAGTTGAGAGTGCAGCTTTAGACACCAAGCTGCCTTTGTAGACTTGGGAAAAATATACAATGACTCTGTTTCTCAGTTTCCACTTCTGCAAAATGAGGTTAATAGTGATATTAACCTCATAGCTAGGACTGAAATAATACTTGTAAACATTTAGCACAGACCCTGGCATAGACTAAGCATTCCACAATGGCAGTTATTATTTCTACTTGTAGCTTATCTACGATATAAACTTACAATTTTTTTTTTTGCTGAAAACATAGTTTGCCTCCTCCCATCCAATAGGCCTCTGGGGTAGAGGACCAGCCTCATACCAGTCAAAACTAATCTCTACTCTTTGGAATGGCTGTTTTGTCCTTCTTTAGTACATGTTTCCATTTGAGAGTAATTTTGCTTCCATGGGATCTTTTTTCTGTGCATTTAGTGGTATCTTTGTAGCACAAAGGCAGGAGGATCTCACAGTGGATTATGCATTGGCAGCCTGGGAGCTGTGTTTAGCCCTCGGGGAACTCTGCACTTCAAGTCCCTACCGAGGAGTGTGGCCGTCGTGTGGTGTGGGGTACGAGTGGACTTATGAACTCCGGGGATTCGCAAGGACTCAAAGGCACAAGCCTCGAACTCTTTAAAGAACACTCCACAAAAGGGGCAGTGCAGGGTCGCCGACCTGTCTCAGCCCGTTCTCAGATAGGGACCTTCCAGTTCCACAGCTCTCAGCTGCAGCACTTCAGGCTCTGTTTGTTTTAAAGGTGGGGAAAACACATTCCCAGACAGAGCCTCTGCCATAAATTTATCCTGGCTTTGGTACAGAGGCCCTAGAACCTCTCGTCCAAGGCTCTGTTTAATTAAGCAGGAGACGATATTAAAACAACCCAAGGGAAGAGGTCATGGTCCCAATCCCTGTGGAGTGTGAGCTTTCCTGGGTTCTTATCTAGGGCTGAATTGGAAAGTGTAAGAATTCTCCATCATTAGCACTCGGTAGTAGGAAGGGACTGGGTTAATCTCTGTGTAATCATCTAGCTCTAGATACTGGAACAGTGGTTTTCGAACCGTGGTCCCTGGGTCACCTCCCATACCACCAGTAGCCTCCAGCTCATTCTGATGCACACATACATTGAAGGAACTGCTAGTCCAGACCAGAGCTTCTCATACGTTCACATGCATACAAATCACTTGGGGATCTTGTTAACATGCATGTTCCAATTCAGTAAGGACGTGGGTGGAGGGAGTGACAAGAATTTGCATTTCCAATAAATTCCCAGATCGGGTAGTGCCAATCTGCTGCCGATACCTAGGGTAACAAGGGTCTCAAGATAGCCCTGGGGGGTAGTGTTGCAGGGCTGCTAAGAGTTTAGTCTCGAAATCTCAGAATTCTTCAGAGTATTGTCCCTGGGGTTCAATGAGATTGGGGACACCCTAGGATTCTGGACAGGCTAGAAGCTTGATACAAAACAGCTGAGTAGTTACAGATGGAAAGAAAGCTTCCATTGTCAGTGTAGGCATGGGAAGGAGTGACGTTGGAGGTCGAGTCACAGAGCTCGTTCTGTGGGATTTATCCTGCGCCCAAAGAACTCTGAGTCTCCTCCTACAGAGATACACACAGTTGCTGATTATGATATAACTTCTTCAAATTGTTTCACTGGTCGTTCTAACCTCCTTTTTTTGTTTTGTTGTTTTTCCTGGATCAGCGATCTTAAACATTAATTTTTAATCTGAGCACAAAATACATCTTGAGGTGGGTTCTGATAGAAAAGTAAAACCTGCCTTTGATTTATGCTTTACAGTTTATGAAACACTATGAAGTCCTTGGTCTCATTCGATCTAACCTGGTACAGCTATTAATAAAGGACGTTTTACACTGCTAATAGGTGTGGGGCACTCTCCCCAATTTCTCATCTCGTCAAGTGTTTAGTGCAGAAAAGGCCAGGGGTCAAATTATTCCTCCCCCAGAAGTCATAACTCTGCTAAACTGCCTTGGTTCCCTGTGTGCCTGGGATCTGATCTGGTCTGGAGACAGAGATCGGAACAAGCACAGTTTTATTTGATCATTTATGTGGCCATGGTGACTATGTTCTTTCATAGCCCAAATTGCATTTATGGGATGCATTTTAGGGAAATGAGCATTCCCCTGTCCCCATTCTGGATTTTGTTAAGGTCTTGGTCAGATTTCATCTCTCCTCTCTGTCCTGCATTCCTGACCTTCAAAGTCAAGTCCAGTGGTGTACACATAGAATGGAATACGACTCAGCAGTAACAAGGAGTCATGAAGCGTATGAGTGCAGATCAAAGACTTTAGGGGGGGTGACAGTAAGTAGCCAGACTATGAAAATGTGCCTACTATATGACTCCATGTATATAAAACTCTAGAAAATGCAAACTTACTTATAGTAAGAGAAAGCAGTTAAGAGGCAGGAGGCAGGGATTTCTAAAAGCCCGAGGAAACTTTTGGGCATGATGGATATGTTTGTCATCTTGTTTGAGGTGATAAAAAGGACCAAGAGGGCCGGGCGCGGTGGCTCACGCCTGTAATCCTAGCACTCTGGGAGGCCGAGCTGGGCGGATTGCTCGAGGTCAGGAGTTTGAAACCAGCCTGAGCAAGAGCAAGACCCCGTCTCTACTATAAATAGAAAGAAATTAATTGGCCAACTAATATATATAGAAAACATTAGCCGGGCATGGTGGCGCATGCCTGTAGTCCCAGCTACTCGAGAGGCTGAGGCAGAAGGATTGTTTGAGCCCAGGAGTTTGAGGTTGCTGTGAGCTAGGCTGACGCCACGGCACTCACTCTAGCCTGGGCAACAAAGTGAGACCCTGTCTCAACAAAACAAAACAAAAAGGACCAAGAGTCACCGGAGGGTGGAGAGCAATGGTATTATACTTGAGGGGGGAGGACAAAAGAGAGAGGGACACAAGACACTGTGCAGGGAAGAAATCCTGTGTTAGAATCTGTTGTGATGCATATGGGAGAGAAACAGTTCTGTTGTGCCATGAATGAGCCCTCTCTTTGAGATTTTCCCAAGAGATGCAGTAAAGATTTAAATTCTTGCCCCATTATCCTGGGTTGTCAGTGCAGAACTTCCTGGGCGGTACCCTT